GAATACTTTCAAAGTATTTGAATACTAAATAGTAAATACTTTACACAAATCAAAGGTATTTGAGTACTAAATACTTTTACGTCCAGCACAAGCGAATACTAAATACAGATACATTGAAAAGTATTCAAATACTTAAAAAAATAAGTATTCAAATACTTTAGAATGTATTCGAATACTTTCAAAAGTATTTCATTAACTTACTTTGAAAAGTATTTGAATACAGTAAAAAGTATTCAAATACTTGTCACTCAAATACATAAAAAATTTAAAATAGTATACTAGATAAAAGTCTTAATACTACATACTTAAAAAATTAAGTTATACTTTGTATGGGGTTAGCTTTTTTTATATTTCTATTGTTATATACAAATTTAAGGGGAGTAAAAGCGTAATATTATTATTATATTATTATATAGGAGGTACCTACCAGGACCTTTCTTATACCAGTTATATCCTTAAGAATACGTGTACCACTTTTCAAAGCGTCGTGCACATGGTACGCCTTTCTGAAATTAATCCTAGCGATTTTGGAACAGATCCATTTTTGACCATCCGTTTGTTCGTGTGGATGATAGTTTGTTTAGAAACGTGCGATCGCTTTGAAAATTGGTACACATGGTTTTAAGGTTATAAGAAAGGTCCCTATTGTTTTTAAGTTACGTAGACTATCGAGTTCGGTATTCAGATGTATCGGATTTTTATGTTTGATTTTGTTACAATGGAAACTTTCCCTAAACATTTCTAAATTGTTCTCAAATATTTGAATAACTTAAAAGTACTGTCTTTTTCTGAGGCCGGAAAAAAAATTGTCTGAGATCGAGATCGATCGAGAGTCCATAATTTCAAACAGTTTGAAGATTGGGCTACTAGATCAAAAGTTACAGCACTTTGAATTTTTTTTCGAAATATGTTTTCGAAGTATGTCCATAACTTTTTATTGAGAGGTCTAATCGAAAACGTACGAATTGTTTTGGATTCTACGCACCAAAATTAATAAGAAAAAGTGTGTTCCCGAGAAATTTTGGTGCAGTCGATTTTTGTTTGGTAAAAAAGGAAGGTTATACACGGCCTTTTTTTGAGCCCCGAAAAAAAAATTGTCTCAGATCGACCCGGAAAAAAAATTTCTTATAGAATGTGACCTGTAGAATCCATAATAATCAAACAGTAGTCGATTTTTGGTAAAAAAAAAGGAAGGTTAAGTATCCAAATACTATGCGAAGTATTCGAATACCTTGCGAAGTATTCGAATACTAAATATTTGTGAAAGTATTTGAGTTACAAATACAAATACTGCTTCCATAAAAGTATTTAACTACAAAGTATTTGAATACTAAAAAGTATTTACAAAATCGAATACTGCCCAGCTCTACCACCATCTATTTTAATAACAAGTAGAATCTAAAACGGTTTATTTAAATATCCGTTTAATGAAGCACCGACTTGAAAAACTTTGATAATCTGATGGACGTACCGGGGATAATTGTTTATACAGTGTTTTAGACTGGACGTGCTGTAAATATGAACTATAAGAAAACATATTTCAAGAAATAAGAGACCAAAGCAGTTAATATCGTTTCACAGACAATAATCAAAACAATCAGGCTTATTGGAAATTTTGTGAAAAACCGTCGTTAGTCGACTCGATGAAGCCTAAAAATCGACCAGCAGCTCTGATTTTGATAATTCTATCGAAGAGTATCCTCAAAAGCTGCAACGCAGGCTCCAAGACCGCACATTAAGAAAGTTTAGCTTGAGAGATAAAGTATACGTCCGGGTCCGGCAATAAGTGGGACCCACTGGGATTTAACAGTAGTGTTTCGTTCCATGGCAGGGACCATTTGAAATAGAGGAGGGAAGGCCATCGGTGAACTATTGAGTCCATAGGGGAGGCCGCTTGGAAGATAAGATGAAAAGGTGTTTCGTAGAAGAGGAAGCTGAAAATGTGGAGTCCGTGACAATTCCATTATTCTATGGAACAACACCGAACCATCAGCTAGTACCACCCTGGATGATTACTCATCGAACGAGGATGAATACTGGGGTCGATTCGATTCCGAAACATTAAGAACAAATTATTATTAAATGTACTAGGTATTACTTTGTGCGCTAGATGTTGTGATTAATGTTTAAACAATATAAAAATTATTGCGGGAGATATTGTTGATACTAAATTTTCAGTATACTAATTTTTCCCGTAAAATCAGTAATTGTTTAAACAATAAAAAAAAGTTGTCTTCAAATTAGAATGTTCCTGATTTTGAATAGTACCATTGATGTGGTTTTTATTCAATGACAGTACTCAAAAACACGAATTTAAAAAAAATTAGCAAAATTGGCGCTGTTGCTGAGAATTGAGAAGTTCAAACCTTCATTGCCTCGACTACTGTAGTATATGTAGTGTGTGTAATAATTAAAATAAGAGCAAGAAGAGCCGAGTTAAAGTACGTCTACTGTAACCGACTGTTAAACAACAAAAAGCTTATAATAGCGCAAAGTAGATATTTCTATCATTCCTTGCAGTAAGATAAACCGTCTATTGGGTCGGATTTTACAATAGAGGAGTGTATAAATATGAGTGTAAATAGGGATCATTCGGTAAGCGGCGTTACAGTCCGAACTTATGTCGGTCGTTGTCTCCGTGCAATATTAAGCCAGTTGCTCCAATAGGCGGATCCCGAAAAAAGAAATTAAGCTAAGAGCGAACCATCGTCTACATCAACTTATCTTCGCGCTGCGGACAAAGATTTTCGTAGCTTGTCCAAGGAAGAAAACGAGAAAGTTAAAAATCTAGAGGATTCTATAACCACTAGCCGGTCCATTCAGTTATCTGGTATCGAGTCTGGTATTTAAAAACCAAACAGTTTAATAACATTATGTTCAGGCGATATACAATTATATACTTATGTAAAGGCGATTTAACCACTCACACACTCACAAGTTGGTGGAGACCGAGTGCAGTAGAATTTAGACTCGCGTCTGAAAATGCTTAATATATTAACGTATATTATATATTATATACAGAGTGGCCCAACGAGAAGTATACAGAGGGCTTTTAGGGTAATAAATTTAGAAATTTCGAAAAATCCTCGAACACATCAATTTTGTATTCGAGGGGGACAACTTTTGGAATACAAATCACGAACGCAAGTCTTCACCCCTCTACGTAGGGAGCTTAACCCCTAAAATTTTAAATGGAATCCTATGGCAAATGGCATATTATTTGAAAGCCAATTTAATCGTGATTACTAATCTGCTTTGCTTTTTAAATTCTATTGATTCGTTTCGGAGATATTCGCATTTGAAATGGTTTTCTCCCCCCTGATTTAAGTCCTTTAGCTTCTTGTATGATATTTAAAGAATAAAGTTTGTGCTACTCCGCCCGGAACATTACAAAGGTTGCGAGCACGTATAACGATAGTGTAAGAATAGAATGCACTATGGTATAACTCAACAATTTCGAGCGATTACCCCTGAAATCTTGCAACATGTACGGCAGCGTTTTGAAGCAAATCTTTATTATTGCATGGAAGCAGGCGGAAGGCAATTCAAGTATTTATTAAAATAAATGTTGTGTGTTTAAAGTTATTTGTTATTTTTTGCACAATTTAAAAATTTTAATACAAGGAGACTTAGATCGCATTTGTTTTAGTTTTTTTTAGAAAAAACCATTTCAAATGCGAGTATCTCCGAAACGAATCAATAGAATTTAAAAAGCAAAGCAGATTAGTAATCACGATTAAATTGGTTTACAAATAATATGCCATTTGCCATAGGATTCCATTTAAAATTTGAGGGGTTAAGCTCCCTACGTAGAGGGGTGAAGACTTGGGTTCGTGATTTGTATTCCAAAAGTTGTCCCCCTCGAATACAAAATTGACGTGTTCGAGGATTTTTCGAAATTTCTAAATTTAATACCCTAAAAGCCCTCTGTATACTTCTCGTTGGGCCACTCTGTATATGCGACTTATTTTTATTATACAGAGTTTATAAACCACTTATGGTAACGCACATAGTTAGAGCAGTAAATTTCTATTCGACTTGGAATTAATACCAAATCCTGAAAGGGAAAAAATCCAGCATAAAGAGATGGGCAAAACCAACTCCAAACAGAATATAAAAACGAGACATTCAGTTTATTTTTCTCACTACCTACTCTACTTTTAGTGTCACTTTAGCACCTTATAATATACCATTATTCGTCGGTGAAAACCATTTTTTAATTGATGAGAACATTTTTTAATTCATATGGCATCTTAAATTGTTGCATGTTCCCGAATAAGTTTTATTTTCTAAAAAATAATAGTATGAAAACTTCCAGGTCTAATGTGAACCATTTACAATACCTACTCGATTGGAAAAGTACCCTTCGATGCACCCGAACCCAAAAATCGAAGTGACTTAAAACAAAAAGAACGTAGTAAATGATCACCGAAAGCGAGGCACAAATGGCTTAAAATACAAGATTAAATAGAGAGATCGAGTAATAAAAAATGTTCAGTTCTTACTTGGCCAATTAACATTGGCCAAGTATGGCCAAGTAAAGTCATCTTAAACTGTCTATAACAGAAAAGGTAATGAAGAACATCAATCACAGAGGTGTGAATTTACTGCCTTGTCCCGATTTATTACGCAATAACTATAACTAAGTAGTTCTTCCACAAATATTTGTTTTCATCCTTCTCACGCAATCGGATATGGATATAGCGCAAAATTTTTTAACTACCGTTAAGTACAAAATATTCTGTGGTACCAACGCGAGATAATTCTTCGAAAAATTGCTTATGTATGCTAATGACGGATTTGAATTTACATTATTTGATACAGCTGGAGGCCAGGTAGGTATAAGATCAAACCTTGGCTTATTTTGACAATACTGTCGATGGAAATTCAAATACAGAGAGGATACGTTTCCGACATCTTTCGAACTTCCCATAGTTAAACCACTCAAAATCAAAAGTTGATGACAAATTTATTATTTGAACATAGTGAATAAGATCAACGAATTTGTAAAAATGATTTATTTGAAATGATGCAATCCCCTACAAGTTAAGTAGTCCGTTCAAGCCTTTAATGATGATCCACTAATAACATCGGCAACATCTTGGCCAATCTGAATTTGATGGGAACCTCCGGTGCTGCTGCTTTGGTAAGAAGACTGTCCTGATACTTGCTCGTCGGAGAGTTGTCCGCCGCTTACACTGTGACTGACTGCGCCAACACCTTGTTGCAACACATCGTCGGATATTCCAAGTGACTTAAAGATCGTATTCTTAGCGTTGCCACCAACTCCAGATGCGTGTAAGGTTCCCTTATTGACGCTGACGATTTCAACACCATCACCCAGTAGCTTCTTCACATTATCAAGACTGCCAAAATCTAATGAAGATCCGCCTTGGGTGTAATCGGATGATTCCAATGTATAGCCGGTTCCCGAGCTACCGCCGCTGTAAGTAACCCCAAAGGCCGCCTGTTGATCTCCGCCGCTTATAAACTGCGCGCCGGAAGAAACAGACGGAGCTTGTCCGGTGACTTCCACAGTTTTGATTTGGTAACTGTGCCCAGAATTTCCTTGATTGCTTGACTGATCACCAGTCGCACCTTGGAGTACTTGATATTGAGTTTCCACGTTGCTGTTTACAACTCCTTGACCTTCAGCTCCACCGCCGACAGCGTGCAGAGTTTGGGCGGAACCGCCGCTTGAGGACCCGGAGGCGCCGCCTGCCACGTTTACAGAGGCGGCATTAGAACCGCTAGAATCAAATCGAGAAGTTAAACTTCCTACATTACCGTGAATGAAGGATGTTTTGTCTTGCCCGATAAGAGTGCTTCCACCGATATGCCCGCCTGAGACAACACGCGCTTTGTCATTTTTATCATGATACTTCACGACCACAACTTCGGCCTTACCCTGGCTAATAGGAATCGGCGCGTTGATCTTAAGTGGTACGAAGTGATCGTTCTCTTTGACTAACACAACGACTTTAGTTTTGTCTTCGACGACTTGGTGCGATGGTACGACTACTTCGGGGATGATTTTACCGACGCTTGGGGCTTTAACAAAGATTACGTTGGAGTTCTTGGTATGGGTCGGTACAATGTTTATGCGGAGACGAGTGTGATGTTCTACTGCATCCTCGGGTGCCGAGAAGAAGTAAACACGCTCCTTGTTTTCGACCACACGGGCGGCATTACCGGAACCTGCGTGCGAGTGGCTTTGGCCTCCTTGAGATACGAAGTTAACTCCCCCGTGACCTCCATGAGTGACAAAGTTAACTCCACCATAATCTCCACGAGATGCCAAGTTAATTCCTTGAGACGTATGTTGCGCATTTCCTTGACCTAGGCCTTGGTATACATACTGCACGTTGCCTTGGTTTTGAAGACCGTGAGAAGATGATGAGCTTCCTCCCGATAAGGTGATTGGTATTAAGTACTGCTCGCCAGATTGCAGCGTGTAGTACGCGTTGTTGCCTTGGTTTTCTAATCCGTGAGAAGATGATGATACTTGCCCGCCAGTCACTGTGATTGGAACCAAGTGTTGTTCCCCAGCCTTTGAGACGTAATACACATTCTGATTCCCAGCTCCTTGTCCATAAACAAACGGTCGCAAGTAGCGTACGGTGGGAACATCTTGGTGGAAGACATGAGTCGTTTTCACGTACTCATTATCAACTGATCCCACAGGGACGTCGTAACTGCTCGCGTATTGTTTAATGCCCTTAAGATGGGAGACATCGGGACGAGAAAACACTCCCGCGATTAACAGAATCACCTAAAATGAGAACACTGGAGACCTTAATCGCAACAAATTTCGAAAACTTACCAACGCACCACTCAACATTGTCACACTTTTTTAAAGCCCAAATGATGCAAATAAAATTTCGCAATTTTCTTATATAGGCAAGGTACCTCCCCACTACGCGAACAGATCCTTTAGCGAAGGACGACGTTACGGATACAAATTCCTTAATCGGTAACAAATCAAAAAACCGGCTAACTTTTGGAAGAAATTCTTCTAAATCATTCAACCCAAAAAGCGCTGTTCGCACGACGATAAATATAGCCATAAAATATGCAAACGCTGCGGATGCTTAATGGACATGTGATTCCATCTGAAAACGTCCGTTTAAAGAATGTACATAATTACGACTACATAATATATCTTCGATATAAATTTAAAGATCGTATCAAAGGGTGACGTCCCTGTGCACTATGGGGGCCGTCATGGCTAAACTGGAAATAAATTAAACTTCCCAGGTGTTGTCCGTCGAAACTTGTTTAGTTTTAAAACCAATTGAATGTTAATTAATAGTAGTCTCCGGGGATAAGGTCAAAAGATGACTAAGAAAATAATTTCTGTTATGCTATTAAAGTCATACGCATTACTACACAATTACCCAAATCCGGATAAATTTGTTGACTATATGATCGTATGAAGGTTTTCCACGGTTAAAAAATACGCTTCAAGACCTGCGGTAGACTAAGTAGCGATACTTAATCAGACTGTGTTTTCAATTTATCTTATTAGCATCTGTATAACATCATAAAAGTTAAGACAGACATTTTCCATTTATTTTTTTTAGTCGAGACTAAAAAAAATCAAAAAAAAATTTAAAAGTTATTTCGTGGAAGGGTTCCAATTATTTTAATAAACAAACAATATGTTTATATACTTTGAATGGCACTTATCAAAAATAATATAATAATAACTTAATGCTATTTTAGAAATTATCATCAGTTTGAATGCAACACAATCAAAACTCGTTGCACATTTTGATAGTACTTTCTTTTTAACTATTATAGATCTACATTGCGCGTCTTGCTTTTTATTTTTTACATTTTTCTCAAAACCAAACCAAGAGCCCTATTGCTCAGTCTGGCGTCTACTTTGATTTATTAAGCTGGAGGCAACATATATGTAATTTTAGGATAAAAAAATAAGATATGCAAATAGCTTAAAATTGTAGATAATTTACATCACATTATGTTTATTTATGGTTTTTTAATGAATATGTGTGTGTCTAAGAATAACGGTAATATCTTGTAACCTTTTTAAATTATTATTTTGCGTGGTATCATTTTATATGATCATTTACCGAAAACCCGGAGCGATTAGTGTATAAAACCCATCTATGAAGTACATCCAACCTGGAAAAACACTTAATAAAGCGACTTTCGGGATTAGTTCTAATCCTTTAAGGTCACAAAATACATCCGAGGTGCAATTGAAAATTGTATGGAGACTTTGAAAGGGAAGTCAAACGAGTGTTGCATGTCCCTAACAATCAAAAGTCTAAACTGGCTTGCTTTTCTTATAAAACTATGTTCCGATAGCGTTAAAATTTAGTTCCATCCGCACCGCATTACACATTAAATCAATTAGCGAAAACCGGAAAAGTCTCTAGGTGACCCAAGACTCGTCAGTAAAATGACACTACATTACTCGTCCCCAAAGGGGCCTCGTACTTCAATATTTCCTCGCCAGTAATGTCCTGACTTTTACGTAAATAATTAATGCTTGAAAATTTACACTCAAACAACTTTTTTATTCCCCTAATATAGAAGATTATTTTATGTGGAGGACAAGTATTACTTTTCATGGTGCGCGTGTGTTTAGCCGCCGAACGGAGTGGGCCATGAAAAGTAACTCCCCTCCAAATAAAATATACCAGTTTTTCTTCAAACGTCCCGCAACTTTACCCAAAACACTTATTTTAATGATAGGCGTTTATGGGATATTGATAGCGTTCGTTAAATTAAACGTCATTGTCAAGTTGGTAAGTTTGTTTGTCTGTTCATGAATAAGGAGGTGCTTTTTCGTTGGTAACGTAGGAAATAACCTTTATTTCATACTGTCCGGTAGATGTTCGATTACACTATCATTTTGAGTCCGGTAGGTGAGTTATTACAGCATCCGAGCCGGTAAGTGTCGCTAAGCAACACTTACCGGACTGTTATTTGTATACATCAAATTTGACATCTTCACACAATTAATTAAAAACCCCAACATAAATTTGGCTGTAATTCTTTATTTCAAACATTAACATTGATTGTAATGAAACAATTTGTATTGCCCTCAACACTACGCCTGGGTTATTACTGAATGTCGAGTTAGTAGTAATGTTTGATTCCTTCTGCTGTAAAACTTCAATGAAATTTTCGCCGCCTTGTATCAGTTGTATCATACGGGCAATCTTAACTTTTCCTTCTACCGAGCCTTCGATGTATTTTTCTGCCGTCGATGAGCTTTTCCATGCTCCATGACGCTTTAACACCGAAACCCAGGCAAAAAAATTTCAATTCAAAAACTTACTGCGTCCAAAAAGTATGCCAACATGACTTTTTCCTCTACTTGTTTCGCCCCATGTTCGTTCCTCAATTGGCAAAACACTTAGTACTCTTTTTCATACCTTGTCTGCGCCTGACTTCTTAGGAACCAACTTTTCGGTTGCTTCATGAGATTTCGACAGGATTGTATCGGGAACATTGGAACATCCCACAACGTTTATAACGTCAATTTTTCAGTGACAATTCAACTCATGTATAAAAAATCGCATAAGCCGCAGTGAAATTGTCACTTTGACAGCGGAAAAAGTTACCTGCAACTTTTCCAGCGA